CAATTGACATAACTGCATATGCATAGCATAAGATCGTATGGACCAATGAGCATCGAATATTAAGCATCGAACACCAATATGGCGACTTAATACTCGATGCTCATTGGTACATACGGTCTTATGCTATGCATATGCAGTTATGTCAATTTGTGTGTGATAGCCCTAAGGTTCTCGAACCTAGGTTAGGTTAGTTCTCGAACGCATGGGTTGTCTCAGCTCCGAGATAGTGCAGTCCATGCGCTCTTATGCGTTCGAGAACTAATCTAACCTAGATTCGAGAACCTTACCCGAGTGCTCTCCCTCTCATTTTATCTTACTCTCGTATTTCTGTCACTCTAAGGGCCATCACACACAAAATTACATAGACGCATATGCATAGCATAAGATCATATGGACCAATGAGCATTGAATATTAAGTCGCCATATTGATGATTGATACTTAATATTCGATGCTCATTGGTCCATACTATCTTATGCTATGCATATGCGTCTATGTAATTTTGTGTGTGATGGCCTTAACGCTGCGTTTCATGCTCATCATGCGTGGGAACGGAACGCACTCTAGATTCTCATAAGATGCAAAGGTATTTATCCAGTTTAGCGGCTTCATCTCCGATTTCGATGAAAGTAGGCTGAATCGACGCGTTTTTGTTAAAGAAACAACTTTTTCCTCTGACAATCGTCGGTCTACTACGAAGCGAGAAATTGTTAAAGATGCTAGGTATGATAGGTTAAGAAACCCATCATTGCAATGTAAAGTCTATTGGTTGGAATTGCACTTACTGTATTAGTGTAACGCAGTGTACAGCAACTTCATTAAAATACATAAATTAAGAATATTTTTAATATATTTAACATATTTGTAACACGGGAAAGATTTCGAACGACGATAGGTTGGGTTAGGTTAGTTTTTGCGGGGGGGGCGGGAGGCGCAGCCCCGCGCTTGTTCGATATCTTTCCCGTGTTACAAAATGTCTAATATATTAAAAATATTTTTAATATAAATATTTTCATAAAGTTATTGCACACTGTGTTACACTAATACAGTAAGTGCAACTCTACGTTGCAATGACGGGTTTCTTAACCAATTATACCTAGTATCTTTACGGCTCCTGGGGAGTCGCATCATCCATCTTTTTTTAATGACGTCAAAAGCGAGAAAACGCATGCTAAAAATTCCTGCAAAATACGTCGAGATAAACAGATATATCCACAAAACGACATTTGCGATCGATTAAGTACACCTCTAAAATACTCCGTACACTTTCCTTTTGTTCTAAAAATCAATAGATAATCGGAAAATTAATATGACAAGATAATGAGGAAATTATCTAATTAGGAAATAGAAAAGACGATTGCACGTCACATTTATTTTATAATTATCTGTT